TTGAACCTGGGAGGCGGAGGTTGCAGTGAGCTGAGATCATGTCATTGCACTCCAGCCTCTGTGAGAGAGCGAGACTGTCTCAAAAACAAACACCTATATAAGTTCACCTGGCAACTGGCTTTGAGAATTTATGTGCAAATGACACCCTTCCCTGCTGGAGATGTAAGCTGACATGAGGTCTCTCAGCCTAGTCATCCCCTTCTGACTTTACAGATACTGTTGTGGGCGTGTTCTTTGAGTCCTAGATTTGTCTAATGTTTTATGCTCTTGAATTTTCATGTTTTTGTTTTTTAAAATTTATTTTTGTTTTTATTTATTTTTTGAGACAGAGTCTCACTCTGTCGTCAAGACTGGAGTGCGATTGCATGATCTCGGCTCACTGCAACGTCCACCACCGGGTTCAAGGGATTCTCCCGCCTCAGCCTCCCAGCTTTAGTACCTGGGATTACAAGCGTGCACCACCACGCCCGGCTAATTTTTTGTATTTTTAGTAGAGATGGGGTTTCATCATGTTGGCCAGGCTGGTCTCAAACTCCTGACCTCATGATCTGCCCACCTTGGCCTCCCAAAGTGCTGGGATTACAGGCGTGAGCCACAGTGCCCAGCCTTAAATTCATGTTTGCTAACTAGGTTACTCCTGATCATGTCTTGGGAGTAGGCAGGGGAAGTTTTACCCCCCTGTGAAAACAAACTGAGCCCCACAGAGCTGATCAAAGTGCACCCAGACAGAGTCTGCTACAAAAGGACAGACAAGGGGAACAGCCCCACAGAGGATGGGCATTGAGCTGACTGCCATGGGCGGGGCTCTGTCCCGGGTAAAGACGCGTGCTGCAAGCTCTTCCTCGTCAGCACTTTCACTAATTAACTGGTCCTGTTTCCTATTAGTCAGGAGCACAATGGCCAATTGACAGATGAAAGGACCCAGATGTGGGAGGAGGGTGGGGAGTCCAGGCAAAGGGTCTGCCCTCTCTGCTCATCACTCAGCCAGGCCTGCCAGGGGCCCTGGATGGGGGCAGCGATGACAGAAACAGGGACAAATCAGGCCTTGAGCTTCTTCCTTCACTTCTCAGACTGCAGGGCAACACTGTGACGTGGTGCATATTAAGGTCATTACTAACCAGATGCCAGGTACGATTCTGAGCACTTTGCATGTATTTATCTCATTTAATCATTTATTATTTATTTATTTATTTATTTATTGAGACGGAGTTTTGCTCTTGTCACCCGGGCTGGAGTGCAGCGGCACAATCTCAGCTCACTGCAACCTCCCCCTCTTGGATTCAAGTGATTCTCCTGCCTCAGCTTCCCCAGTAGCTGGGATTACAGGTGGCTGCCACCACGCCCAGCTAATTTTTGTATTTTTAGTAGAGATGGGGTTTTGCCATGTTGGCCAGACTGGTCTTGAACGCCTGAGCTCAAGTGATCCGCTTGCCTCGGCCTCCCAAAGTGCTGGGATGACAGGTATGAGCCACCTCGCCCGGCCTATTTATCTATTTATTTATTTATGAGCCATAGTCTGGTTCTGTCACCCAGGCTGGAGCCTGTCTCTGTTTCTGTTTTGCTCCTACCCTCGCTGGAAAGATGAGGATTAAGTGGGGTGAGGTGATAAATATTTCACCCCTGACTATCCAGCAATACAGAAAGTCTCCAAGAAGGATTTCCGCGTTGCCCATTGAGGTCTGTTCCTACAATCTGCCATCCTTTCTGAGGACTACAGCTGGGCGTGGTGGCCCATACCTGTAATCCCAGCACTTTGGGAGGCCAAGGCAGGTGAATCACCTGAGGTCAGGAGTTTGAGACCAGCCTGGCAAATGTTGTAAAACCCCATCTCTACTAAAAATACAAAAAATAGCTGGGCCATGGTGGCGTGTGCCTGTAATCCCAGCTTCTTGGGAGGCTGAGGCAGGAGAATCACTTGAACCCAAGAGTTGGAGGTTGCAGTGAGCTATGGCGCCACTGCCTTCCAGCCTGGGTGATAGAGCAAGACCCTGTCTCTCCTTTTTTTTTAGAGATGGGATTTCACCATGTTGGTCAGGCTGATCTCGAACTCCTGACCTCAAGTGATCCACCCGCCTCGGTCTCCCAAAATGCTGGGATTACAGACGTGAGCCACAGTGCCCGGCCAAGACCCTGTCTCAATAAATAAATAAATACAAAAATTAGCTGGGCGCGGTGGCACACTTCTGTAATCCCAGCTACTCAGGAGCTGAGGCAGGGGAATTCCTTGAACCTGGGAGGCGGAGGTTGCAGTGAGCTGAGATTGCGTCACTGCACTCCAGCCTAGGTGAAAGAGTGAGATTCCATCTCAATAAAAAAATAAAAATAAAAAATAAAAATAAATAAATATCACTACAACAGGAGAATCACTCAGAAGGTGCTGCTGGGGTAGCAGAACAGCAAATGAATGAACGTAACTAACTCTATTTTTATTTAAGAGACACCCATTCCTGCATGCAGGCTAACATTATTTTTTTATTATTATTATTTTTTGAGATGGAGTCTCACTCTGTCGCCCAAGCTGAATTGCAGTGATGGGATCTCAGCTCACTGCAACCTCCGCCTCCTGGACTCAAGTGGATTCTCATGCCTCAGCCTCCCAAGTAGCTGGGATTACAGACATGTGGCACAATGCCCAGTTAATTTTTTTTTTTTTTTGAGACAGAGTCTTGCTCTGTTGCCAGGTGCCAGGCTGGAGTGCAGTGGCGGGATCTTGGCTCACTGCAGCCTCCGCCTTCCGGGTTCAAGCAATTCTCCTGCCTCAGCCTCCCGAGTAGCTGGGACTACAGGCACGTGCCACCACGCCCAGCTAATTTTTATATTTTTAGTAGAGACGGGTTTTCACCATGTTGACCAGGATGGTCTCGATCTCTTGACCTCGTGATCCACCCGCCTCAGCCTCCCAAAGTGCTGGGGTTACAGGTGTGAGCCACCGCACCTGGCAATTTTTTTTTTTTTTTTTTTTTGAGACAGAGTTTTGCTCTCTCTCCCAGGCTAGAGTGCAATGGCATGATCTCAGCTCATGACAACCTCCACCTCCCGGGTTCAAGCGATTCTCCTGCCTCAGTCTCCCGAGTAGTTGGGATCATAGGCACTCACCATAAGGCCTGGCTAATTTTTGTATTTTTAGTAGAGACAGGGTTTCGCCATGCTGGCCAGGCTGGCCTCGAACTCTTGACCTCAAGTGATCCTTCTGCCTCAGCCTCCCAGAGTGCTGGGATTACAGGCATGAGCCATTGCTGCACCCAGCCTGGCCCTACTCTTAAAGAAATGACCAGCAGTGTTTAGCCTGGCCTCTCACCCAGCCTCAGTTTCACTTTTAGGCAGAGAAGCACGAGATGTTGGTGCTGGGCAGGGAAACTGAAGGTGAACGGGGAAGGCCCATCTGAGTGGATTCAGCAACACTCCCTGAGCACACAGCGCCTGCCAGGCATGGAGCTCGGCCAGGCATGGCTGGACACTCACAGGCACAGGCTGTTCCCACCCCCGCAATGCAGCCGCCTCCATTGTTTGTATGGCTTCGAGTGGTTCACAGTTCGCCCCTGATCTGAGACAATATTTGCCTTGCCATAACTTGCCTGTTTGATCCAAGGCCCACCCAGAGGCCCACAGCAAATTGGTGTTCCTCCTATCCTGTGACAGGCGGCAGAGGCATGACCTCAGCAAAACCCTACACCCTTTTTTTATGAGACAGAGTCTCGCTCTGTCGCCCAGGCTGGAGTGCAGGGGCGCAGCTCACTGCAACCTCCGCTTCCCGGGTTCAAGTGATTCTCGTGCCTCAGCCTTCTGAGTAGCTGGGATTACAGGCCCTTGCCACCACACCCGACCAATATTCCCATGTTGCTCAGGCTGGTCTCGAACTCCTGAGCTCAAGTAATCCTCTCCCCTTGGCCTCTCTAAGTACTGGGCTTACAGGCGTGAGCCACTGTGCCCGGCCCTACACCCTCTTTATCCACCAAGGCATTGGTCATGGTGGCAGTGGCATTTGGTGTGTGGGTTCTTACTTCCCAGACTGTATGCTTACTCTGAATTCTGTTCTGATCTGATCTGTTCTGTTCTGTTCTGTTCTAATCTATTCTATTCTACTTTTTGAGATGGAGTCTCACTCTGTTGACCAGGCTGGATTGCAGTGGTAGGATCTCGGCTCACTGCAACCTCTGCCGTCCAGGTTCAAACGATTCTCCTGCCTCAGCCTCCCGAGTAGCTGGGATTACAGGCATGCACCACCACGCCACGGTAATTTTTGTATTTTTAGTAGGGATGGGTTTTCCCCATGTTGGCCAGGCTTTTTTTTTTTTTTTTTTGAGATGGAGTCTTGCGTTGTTGCAAGGCTGGAGTGCAGTGGTGCAATCTTGGCTCACTGCAACCTACACCTCCTGGGTTCAACCGATTCTCCTGCCTCAGCCTCCCAAGTAGCTCAGACTACAGGCGTGTGCCACTATGCCCAGCTAATTTTTGTATTTTTAGTAGAGACAGGGTTTCACCATGTTGGCCCAGATGGATGATCTTGATCTCTTGACCTCATGATCAGACCACCTTGATCTCCTAAAGTTCTGTGATTACAGGCGTGAGCCACTGTGCCTGACCTGAATTTCATTTCTATAGGAAGGAATTATTGGAGCTTGCCTGGGGTCACATTGTTGGCCAGAGACAATGCTGGGGTCAGGGCATATCTAAGGTCTTCTGATTTGCAGTTCAGAATTCCCTGAGCTGAGACCTGGGCTGCCTCCCCCACCCCTCCCACTGCTGAGCCATAGGCAGGACCTAGGGTGGGTAGGAGGAGGCCCTTGGTGATGTCCAGGTGTCCCTGGGCCAGGCCAGCGTTTCCAGTGGGCAGAGTCCATGACCTGTCTTCCTCCTTCTCTTCTTCCTCTCCACCCTCTCACCTAAGCCCCAACCAGACCAAGCCACCTGAGGGAACACCTGGACAGGCCCCTCTGGTACCCAGCTGCTGCCTGAGCCTGTACCCCCTCTCCCCGATCCCCAGACGGGCAAGCACTCACATGTGGCCCCCAGGCCGGTCCTCCCTGGTGAGCACTCCCTCCTTCTCCATCAGCATCTGCCGGAATGTCCCCACTTTCTGCCGGATCTCCTCCTCCGAATACCTGCAGTGGCACAAAGAGGGTGAAGGGGCTGGTCTCCTGATTTTGGTTCCCTCTTTCCTGCTCCCTACCCAGCCCAGCCCTCCCCACCACACTCCTGGGTCACAGTACACACTCTGGCTTGCAACAACCTGTCCAAGATTACAGACCAAGCCAGGCCTTCAGCACTGAGGAAGCTCAAGTTCATTGTACACAAAGCTGGCCAGGCGCGGTGGCTCACGCCTGTAATCCCAGCATTTTGGGTGTCTGAGGCAGGCAGATCACCTGAGCTCAGGAGTTCGAGACCAGCCTGGCCAACATGGCAAAACCCTGTCTTTACTAAAAATGCAAAAATTAGCCAGGCATGGTGGCAGGCAACTGTAGTCCCAGCGACTCGGGAGGCTGAGGCAGGAGAATCACTTGAACCAGGGAGGCAGAGGTTGCCATGAGCTGAGATCACGCCACTGCACACCAGCCTGGGTGACCCAGAGACTCCTCTCAAAAAACAAACAAACAAACAACAACAACAAAACATTGTACACAGACAAAAGAAAAACTTCTTCCCAGAGGTGGGGAGAGATGACCCCCTCACCCCTCAGGTAAGGCTAAACACCCAGGGCAGGCCTCCCTCCCATATCCAGACTGCAGTCGCTCTTTTTAGAATTTTAGGGGAAGAGTGAGATTTCTGGTTTTGAGACATACATGGCCTTTTCTGCCTTCCTGGCCTCTGTGACATCTGATCCTCGTACAGCCATGGGAGGTCCTCACAGCATCCCCATGTCTGCAAGAGTGAGGCTGCCAGGTGGCTTGTGGGGGGTGGTTGGGGGGTAAGGCGTGGTTTCAATGCTTCTCTCTGCTGCTGGCTTGGGGTAGGCGGGTAGCTGAAGTCTGGGCCTCAAATGGAAGCCCCTGACTTCTCTACTCCCCTCTCCCTCTCCCTCTTTCCCTAAGTCCAGTCTCAGGCTAGAGACCAAAGTCTAGTTATCATCTTCTTTATTTTTTTTTGAGACAGAATCTCACTCTGTCGCCAAGCTGGAGTGCAGTGGCACGGTCTCAGCTCACTGCAACCTCCGCCTCCCGGGTTCAAGTGAGTCTTTTGCCTCAGCCTCCCAAGTAGCTGGGACTACAGGCGTCCGCCAACACACCTGGCTAATTTTTCTATTTTTAGCAGAGACGGGGTTACACCATGTTGGCCAGGATGGTCTTGATCTCTTGACCTCGTGATCCACCTGCCCCGGCCTCCCAAAGTGCTGGGATTACAGGCGTGAGCCACCGCGCCCAGCCCCCAAAGTGCAGTTATCTACTCCTCATCCCTGCTCCCACTTCTGGGGTCAGTGGTCATTCGCTCTCACTGCTCCTCTGTGACAGCCGCTACCTGACCTCCCCATTCCTCTGGGGTCTCTCCAGCTTATGTCCACACTGCCCCTGGGGCCTTTGATCACACAGCCCTTGCCCTGTGCTTGGCACACAGCAGGTGTCCAGCAGCTGTTACTGAAGGGATCCTCTGACAACCTCGAAAGGCAGGTCACATTCCCATTTCACAGATGGAGAAGCTAAGGTAAAGTGAATTGTCTTGCCCAGCCTCACAGAGCTGGGCAATGGGAGGTGCCAGGATTCAAAAACAGGACTGCTGCACTCTTTGCTCTCTCCTTTTCATCACTGGCCCCCATGGCTCAGCTAAGAGGGATGACCTAGAAAAATATGAGGGCAGGGGGTACTCATTTTTTTTGTAGATATGGGGGGTGGGAGGCTCACTGCATTGCCCAGGCTGGTCTCAAACTCTTGGGCTCAAGTGATCCTCCCCCCTCAGCCTCCCAAAGTGCTGAGATTATAGGCATGAGCCACAAAGCCTGGGATGGTAGCCTTTTGATTCCCATTTTACAGATGAGCAAACAGAACAGGGAGAGGGGAGGGCTCGAAGCTCCAAGCCTAGCTAGGACGGTGCCGTGCTCTGTCACCTCACCCAAGTCCTCACAAGAAGAGGTATGGCACCTGGGCACAGTGGCTCATGCCTGTAATCCCAGCACGTTGGGAGGCCAAGGCAGGTGGCTCACTTGAGGTCAGGAGTTCGAAACTAGCCTGGCCAACATGGTGAAACCCCATCTCTACTAAAAATACAAAAATTGGGCCGGGTGCAGTGGCTCGTTCTTGTAATCCCAGCACTTTGTGAGGCCAAGGTGGGTGGATCTCGAGATCAAGAGATCGAGACCATCCTGGCCAACATGGTGAAACCCGGTCTCTTCTAAAAATACAAAAATTAGCTGGGTGTGGTGGCTGGTGCCTGTAGTCCCAGCTACTTGGGGAGGCTGAGGCAGGAGAATCGCTTGAATCTGGGAGGTGGAAGTTGCAGTGAGCTGAGATCTCGCCACTGCACTCCAGCCTGGGCGACAGACTGAGACTCCATCTCAAAAATTATAATAATACAAAAATTAGCTGGATAATTTTTTAGCTGCTCGGGAGGCTGAGGCAGGAAATCACTTGAACCTGGGAGGCGGGAGTTGCAGTAAGCAGATATCATGTCACTGTACTCCAGCCTGGGCAACCGAGTGAGACTCCATCTCAAAAAAAAAAAAAGAGGCATGGCAAGAAGATAAATAGGGTGGCAGGGAGGATGCTGGTGTCTGTGGTGGGAGCATCACATCAGAAAGGCTGGGGCTCCAGCCCGCCCTGCAGTGATTGCAGACTGTAAGCCAAGGCTGTCTGGGAAGGTGACTCCAAGTACGCCATCAATCACCAGTGGATTAGCCAGCCAGCCATCAATATTAAGAAAAAGGATTGCTTTTTAATGGGGCCAAAGAGTGTGTGTTCCTGTGATTGATGGGAATATTTGTCAAATGCCCGAGAACTCGGTAAATAAACGCGACCGAACCAGTGTTTCTAGAAATGGATATTAATGACTCAATCTTATAAAAGAGCAGGGGCGCCTAGTGTTTATTGAGCACTTTGTGAGGACTGGCTGGGGCCTGGGCAGTCTCGTGTGTCTTTGACCGAGAACTCTCAGAACAGCTCCAGAACATGGTGCCCCTATTTTCCAGGTGAGTAAACCGAGGCTTGTTCAAGGTCAAGATAGGACCTGAAGCCTGGATTTGGGGGTCTCAGAATGCCTGTCCCTGCAACGATCAAATGCCTGCTGAGGATGGGGAGGCCCGGGGGAATGGTCAATCAAGATCTGGTTTTTTGGGGGTCGCTTCAGGGTAACGACCACCGGAAGTGAGAGCTTGGGCAGGGTAAGGGGCCCTCACTGAGCAAGTGGGGACATAGTGGGTGCTTCCCAGGGAGGCAGGGATCTTTGATCCTGGGAGTCTAACACCCAGGATGTGGCCAAATGACATTGCCTTTTGCTTGGGGAGGGGCTCAGTAAGGGAGAGGTTTTTGAAAGGGTGGGGGTCTTTGATGGGGAGGGCTTTCAGGATGGGAAAGTACAGAGAAGAGGAGGGGGCTTAGTGAAGGGAGAGGGGCTCAGGATGGGGATGGGTTCATCAAGAGGGTGGGGTTCTGGGAGGAGGAGGAGGAGCAGGAAAGTGCAGGGGACACTTTGCCTGTCCCCGTCAACCCTCTTGTCCTCTGCCCACACTCCCCTCCCTCCTTGACTTGCCAGACAAAATTTGGCAGAATTTGCAGGGTTGGTTTGTTTGCTTGTTTTTGGTTTTGGTTTTGAGATGGAGTCTCGCTCTGTTGCCCAGGCTGGAGTCCAGTGGCACGATCTCAAGTCACTGCAACCTCTGCCTCCCAGGTTCAAGCAATTCTCCTGCCTCAGTTTCTCAAGTAGCTGGGATCACAGGTGCCTGCCTCCATGCCCGGCTAATTTTTTTTTTTTTTGTATTTTTTGTATTTTTAGTAGAGATGGGGTTTCATCATGTTGGCCAGGCTGGTCTTGAACTCCTGACCTCAAGTGATCCGCCTGCCTTGGCCTCCCAAAGTGCTGGGATTACAGGCATGAGCCACCGCACCTGGCTGGATTTGCAGGTTTAATTTGGGGATTGGGGTTCTTACTGTAGGAGATGCCCCCAACCTCGCCCCTCCTTGCCCCTGCCCCTTGGGGTCTCATTCCCTCTTGCCATACTCACTACCCACAGCTCATCAATGTGTTTCCCCACCAGCTGGAGCCTCCTTTCTGTGTGTCCTCAGCATCCTGCCATCCATCCATCTATTCCTCTCTGCAAGGGGCCTCCTCCCCCTTACATGGTCCTCTGGGCAAGGTGAGCACCAGGTTCCCATGTCCCCTTCTTCTTCCAACAAGCAGACCTGTCTGGCAGCCAGTGGGACTCGATCCCAGCTCCACCTTGGCCCCCCACCTTCCAGATGGCCTTCAGCAAGTCACTCGCTGAGCCTGAGGGTCTTCCTGAGCTCTTCAGAGGTGGTGGCCCCTGTCTAAGGGAGCCCAGGAGGTCTGGGGTGGACAGTCAAAGGTGTGGCTTGGACTGACTGCAGGACACAGGCTGTGTTTGGCCCCATGTGGCTCCAGGCTTAGTCCCCCTGTGCAGGGAGTTTCTGATTTCTCAGCTCACTGGCAGTGCAAACCTGACGGGCAGCCCCTGCTCCTGACTTTGACTCCTTCAGCAGCCAGCCCACTAGTTTCTTTCTTTATTTTTTTTTCTTTTTGAGACGGTGTCTTGCTCTGTCGCCCAGCCTGTAGTGCAGTGGTGCCATCTTGGTTCACTGCAACCTCCATCTCCCGGGTTCAAGCGGTTCTCCTGCCTCAGCTTCCAGAGTAGCTGGGATTATAGGCACGTGCTACCATGCCTGGCTAATTTTTATATTTTTAGTAGAGATGGGGTTTCGCCATGTTTGCCAGACTGATCTCAAACTCCTGACCTCAAGTGATCCACCTGCCTCGGCCTCCCAACCTGCTGGGATTACAGGCATGAGCCACCCCGCCTGGACTTTTTTGTATTTTTCATAGAATCGGGGTTTCACCATGTTGGCCAGGCTGGTCTCGAACTCCTGACCTCAAATAATCTGCTTGCCTCGGCCTTTCAAAGTGCCGGAATTACAGGCATGAGCCAGTGTGCCCGACCAGTTTTGCCATTACTTTTTTGTTTTTTTTCACGAGCTCATGAAGGAAACCATTACTTCTAATAGCAAAAACCAACACTACATTCGCAACAACTTAATACATAAATGAAAGACGAGCTGGACTTGCAATCGTTTCACCCCAACTGGTCTGGACTCTGGCCTCTTGTCTGACTTAGGCTCCTGGGTCCCCACGGGCGCCTGACTCCGCCCTAATGCACCCAGCCCCGCCCTTCTCCCCGCCCACGGCGTGCGCCACGCCCACGGCCAGCATCAATCCCTGCTCCCACCCTCGCCCCGCCCACCGCCCCGCCCACCGCCCCGCCCCGCGGCTCGCTCACCCCTGCTCCTCCATCATCTCCTGCAGCTCCATGCACTTGAGCTCCACGCGTCGCTTGCGCTCGTGGTCCAGGATCTCGCGGTGCGCGCGCTTCACCAGGCCGGGCTCCGCGGCGCGCAGCTCCTCCTCCGCCCGCGGCCAGGCCCCCGAGGAGGCGCCGGGCTGCGGGAAGCCGTTCGCCGCGTCGGGTGGGGACGGCATGCTGGCCGCCCCGTTGTTCACGGTGGACGACATCGCGGCTGGCCCCGGGGCCGCTGGCCTGGGCCGCTGACCCTGAGGGACAGACACACAAGGCGGGATGGTCACTTCTTGGCCACCTGCTAAGCTCCTCTCTGCTCGAGTTAATCCTGGAGATTTAAGGGCCCACTCATGGCTCTAATCCGCTTCCCTTCCTGGTGCAGAGGGAGGCGGACGGCTGGTTTGCATCTTTGGGTCACACCTCAGGGCACGAGTGGGTTGGACACTGGGCTTTTCCCATCTGTAAGGTGGGTGGATGCAGGCCAGACTGGATGACCTCTAAGAGCCATTGGCTGGGAATCGTGTCACCTCCAGGGACCTAGCAACTACTGAGGACAATCCCCTCTGCCTTGCATGGATGCTTGGGCCAGACATCCCAGCGCCAGCGTGCACACATCATTGGCCCCTCAGTCGTGTTTCTCCTTCAGGCTCAGTTGAAACTGTTTACGCACACACCAGACCCATTGTCCTGGCTCTGTCCAGTGGGACGCAGATGACATGTGTTCCTACCTCCCAGTCTGCTCCCAGGGAAGCTCTACAGAGAGGGGAAAGAGGGAAGCTTACTCCATTCTCACCCCAGAGGTAGTTTTCAGCTCTCACTTTGATCTAGCCAACTTTCCCAAAGCCAACATTTGGGGTAAGAAGGGCTCACCCAGACTGAGGCCCACAGGACTATCCCCTCCTTTGTTCTGGGAACACTGCTTCTGATGATGTGACCAAAGCTACACTGACATTAGCTTTTCAGGCAGCCACATCCTCCTGTAGGCTCAGGGTAGGGTGGAAGTCAACTTGGCTTGGAACTAAGAAGCCCTGACTCCGTTAGGCCCTCCAAAGTAGAGCAGACACACACACACACACACACACACACACACACACACACTCACTCACTCACTCACTCACTCCCTCCAAGGACTTCTATCTTAACAGAGGGGAGGCACCTCCTGAGCTATTTCCATTTCCTTTCTCCAAGACTTTGCTAGTTGCTAAGCAACAGGGAGGCCTCATTCCCAGGGAGTGGGGTGGGAGGGAGGGAACGGAAGGAGGAAGGGAGGGAAAGAAGGGATTGGGCATGCCTGGACATCTTGGATTCCTGTAACACTTCTCCCCCAACACACCCTCCCCTCTCTGGCCTCAGAGTGATGGGATGGGGGTGGAAGTGTTCAGAGCCACCGAAACTAGAAAGCAGAAGAGAGAGGGACTGTGACAGCTATGGGAGGCTACGAAGGGGACAGAATGACAGGAGGTAACAGTGGTGATGAAAACATAAGATCTTCTCATATGTCCTTCCCCCTGAGTCCCAAGTGCATGGGTTCTAGGCTGCATTCCTCCACTCCTTGCTGTGTGACCCTGAAGATGTCACTACCCCTCTCTGAACCTCTGATTTCTGTTCCTGGGAGCATCTGTCAGATTCTTCTGGAGAGGGGAGTGCCTGGGGGCTTAGAGACCAAAGCTGTTCTTCTAACCCCTCTTTTCCACTTCCACACCTGCTGGCTTCCCACCTCTGTCCATAGACCAGCCCTATACTACCAGGGGTTTTCCTGGGACACTCCACAAGCATCACCCACCAGGCCCCAAACAAGCTCTGGCCGCCCTGCTCCCCACCCACTTCGGCCACAGTGCTTGGCTCATAGGTGATTTCTCTGTCTGTTGATCACCTGAGCCAGGGGAATGTGTGGAGTTTGCAGACCCTTATTGCCCTGGCCCACCACAGTTCACCTGTCCTCAAGTTGGGTCCCTCATCCCCTCTTCTTTGTTTGTTTTCTGAGACAGGCTGTCACTCTGTCACCCCAGCTCGAGTGAAGGGGCAGTCATAGCTCACTGCAGCCTTGAACTCCAGAGCTCAAGCGATATCCTCCCGCCTCAGTCTCCCAAGGAGCTGGAACTACAGGCATGTGCCACGAAACTCAGGTAGTTAAAAAAATTTTTTTATGGAGTCAAGGTCTTGCTATTTTGCCCAGGCTGGTCTTGAACTCCAGGCTTACAAAACAATCCTCCCACCTCGGCCTCCCAAAGCACTGAGATGACAGGCATGAGCCACTGTGCCCAGCCCCCTCCCCCTTCTCAGCACTACTCACATTTATCCACTTCCTCTTCTCCCTGTGACCACCTGGACCCAAGCTCCTCCCTCCACGCAGCTCTACTGCCTCACTGCAGTTGCCTGGCCTCCCTGCTCTCAGACCTTCATCCTCCGCTGACAACTTGGCAGACGGGTTCAGGAGCAAATCAGACCATGTCATGCCCTGGTTGGCAGCCTCCAGTGACTCCTGTCACCTTGGCTTAAAGTCACAACACAGCCCTGCCTCACGGTCCAGCCCCATCCCCATCACTGCCCACCACACTCATCCTCCTCCACCTATCTTGGCTCCAGGCCGTTTCCTGGGACACTCTTCATTCCTAGTTGTCCTCAAAGTCACCACTTGTAGGCATCATCTCCTTCCGGAAGCCTTCCTTTCCCCCCTGGCTGGTGTCACCCTCCTAGAGCTTTTTTTTTTTTTTTTTTTTTTGAGATGGATTCTCACTCTGTTGTCCAGGCAGGAGTGCAGTGGTGCCATCTTGGCTCACTACAATCTCCCGGGTTCCTGCCTCAGCCTCCCAAGTAGCTGGGACTACAGGCGTGCACCACCAAGCCTGACTAATTTTTGTATTTTTAGTAGAGACGGGATTTCACTGTGTTGGCCAGGATGGTCTCGAACTTCTGACCTTGTGATCTGCCCGCCTCGGCTTCTCAAAGTGCTGGGATTACAGGTGTGAGCCACCACTCCCAGCCTTTCTCTCTCTCTCTCTCTCTCTCTTTTTTTTTTGAGCTGGAGTCTCATTCTGTTTCCCAGGCTGGAGTGCAGTGGTACAGTCTTGGCCTACTGCAACTCCACCTCCTGGGTTCAAGTGATTCTCCTGCCTCAGCCTCCTGAGTAGCTGGGATTACAGGCGCTTACCACCATGCCTGGCTAATTTTTATATTTTTAGTAGAAACAGGTTTCACCACGTTGACCAGGCTGGTCTCGAACTCCTGACCTCAGGTGATCAACCCTCCTTGGCCTCCCAAAGTGCTGGGATTACAGGTGTGAGCCACCTCACCTGGCCTTACCTCCCAGAGCTCTTATTACTTGCTGTTGTTGCTGTGAGTTCACAGGTCTGGCTCCCCCTGGGATGAGGGCAGCTTAGCTTTCAACTCCTAGCTCCAGACAGGGCCCAGTGCATGTGAAGCTCAATGCACTCGGGTTGAACAAAGACAGGGGCAACAGGAGGCAGGATAGAGGAATACATGGCGTGGTCCTTGGTATAGCCTGTAAGAGCCCCTTTGCATTCTGTTGAACACTATCTTGCAATTCATCCCACGCTGCACCCCACCCTGCAACCAACACCCAGCCCCTTAGCCTTGGTCCTCATCCTCCAAATGTGGCTCTTACTTCCTCCTTTGTGCCTTTGCCTGTGTTTCCCCTCAGCTGGAGTTCTGTTTCCCCTTTTCTTCACCTAGGGAACTTCAACTCATCCTTCAGGGCCCAGCCTAAAAGTCACCTCCTCTGGGAAGTCTTCCACTCTTCCAGGAAGGATGAGTCATTCCCTCTTTGTGCCACACTTTTTTTTTTTTTTTTTTGAGGCAGAGTCTCACTCTGTCACCAGGCACCAGGCTAGAGTGCAGTGGTACAATCTTGGCTCACTGCAACCTCCACCTCCCAGGTTCAAGCAATTCTCCTGCCTCAGCCTCCTGAGTAGCTGGGACTACAGGCACGCACCACCATGCCCAGCTAATTTTTGTATTTTAGTGGAGACAGGGTTTCACTATGTTGGCCAGGATGGTCTTGATCTCTTGACCTCGTGATCCACCTGCCTCAGCCTCCCAAAGTGCTGGGATTACAGGCATGAGCCACCTCGCCCGGCTGTGCCACACTTTTTAAGTATGACATTTAGATGCTGAGATTCAATTGGCGGTTTGCTTCTAACTCCTATTCTAGACCATGAGCCTTTTTAGGGAAGGGGACCATTCTTTCATTCTGGCTCATTAGAACCTACCCCAACCAGGCAATGCAAGCGGCACGCTGAAGGCGTGGAGAGAGCACAAAGGTGCCAGTGATGGCGCTGGAACCATGCTGTTCTGCTCGACTTCCCTCTGACCTGGGCCAGTCTCCCAGGCCTAGAACTTCGCCTGAGCTCCTGGAGGGCAAAGGGGGAAAGCTGGTGGGAATTGTTCTGAATGCACTCAGATCTCCAAACACTGAGAAATTCTAGCCCCAGTGCTAGGAGAACACCTGGGTAGCAATGCTAGGTTGCCCAGGGTAATCTTTGCAGAAATGATTGAGGAGAAAAGGAGAGCCGTGTGAAGAGAGGCGTGGCAGATGCAGTCTGGATTTTCACTAGGACAGATGGTGGACTCAACCAATTTCACCTGGTAAGTTGGAGAAGCACCAGGCGGGAATCTGCAGCAGGTCATTAATAGAATGACCCGAATCATTGCACACCAAGTCCACTCCCTGCCAAGTCAGGGTGCTGGGTCAGCAGACCAGGGAGTGACTGCAGGAATGCAGGCACAGGGTCCCTCTGTGAGCCATGTGACACGATATTTTTATGAAATCATTGTGGGACTGGGCACAGTGGCTCACACCTGTAATCCCAGCAGTTTAGGAAGCCAAGGTAGTCAGATCACCTGAGGTCAGAGTTCAAGACCAGCTTGGGCAACATGGCAAAACCCTGTCTCTACTAAGAATACAAAAGTTAGCCAGCAGAGTGGTGGGTGCCTGTCATCTCAGCTACTCAGGAGGCTGAGGCACAAGAATCACTTGAACCTGGGAGGCGGAGGTTGCAGTGAGCTGAGATCATGCCATTGCACTTCAGCCTGGGCGACAGAGTGAGACTCTGTCTCGGAAAAAAAAGAAAAGAAAAGAAAAGAAAAGAAACCATTGTGAGATTTCCCTCCCTCCCTCCCTCCCTCCCTCCCTCCCTTCCTTCCTTCCTTCTTTCCTTCCTTCCTTTTAGACAGACACTCACTCTGTTGCCCAGCTTGGAGTGCAGTGGCATGACCACAGCTCACTGCAGCCTTG